TTGTGATTGTAAAAATCAATTACATATGCAGTGCGTTTTTCTAATGAATACTTTTTATTCTTAGATAAAGTGTTTTTTTTATCTACATTTGGGGGTTTTCCTTACTCTGAGCTATCACACAACTTCATTCTCATGTTGTGATGAGTGAACGCTGAGGCCACATAGCAAGCTGTGTCAAAGAGCATATGTGATACATCATTTTTTGCAGAAGAATATTACAGTTTGTTTCTCGGGGGGGAACACCCTGATCCACTGCAATGCTGATGTCAGGAAACGCACTTCCTGTTGAGTGTTTCATCTGGGGCGAAACTAATTCCATGCAATGACAGACATAAATCAAATATTGTGTTTGGAAGAAGAATGCATTTACCAGATATCAGATTTATGGAAACATAGCATGATTTATAGAAAACTATGATTTGTTGGACGATTTCTACTCCCACAAATTAAAGCATTAGTTGAACATTTTTGGGAAATACGCTTACTTGCATTCCTGCCAATTGCTAGATGAGAAGATTAAAACCACTGTATGCTTGTACAGTAAATATGTAGCTGGAGCCAGCAGTCAGTTAGCTTAGCATAAAGACAAGGGGTAACATCACAGGCTGTATATTAGAAGTGGACATAGTCACCGTGACGTCACCCATTGGTTTGCGGACTGCCATTTGAAGCCTTGAGTTCGTCATTTTGGTTGTCGCCATCTTGTTTTTTGGAACCAGAAGTGGGTGGAGCTAAGTACAACCGAATGCTGAACAAGACATTTTCAGGCAACCACAATGTTACAATTAACTTGAATGAACTGAAAACACTCTGTGAAAGAGTTAAAGTTCTAAGAGGAAAACACAGACAGCTTTTATCTGAATGGAACCATAATTTACTAAACACATCATACTGTATTAAAGAAGACTTGAAACTAGTGATTGAGACCATAAACTCGTGTTTACAATGTTTACTGACGTAATAAATTAAGTGAGATGTAAGGTCATTTTCTCATAGACTTCTATACGATCAGACTTACTTTTTGTAACCAGAGGAGTTGCCTCCTGCTGGCCAGTTGAAAGTATGCAGGTTTAAGGTATTTCCGCATTTGCTTCATTGAAAATCTCCCTACCTGCACCTCTAAAGGTCACCAGTTCATCATGTGTGTTCATGCAATACAGAAACCAAGTGCTAAATACTATTTTTGACTTCAGACCAGTAACTTCCTGGAGTCTCCACTGGTTACCTTGCAAACCTGTTTCCAGTCTTTATGCTAAATTCAGTTAACCAGCTGCTGGCTTTATAGCTTCATAAAAGGGTTTTATCAATCTTCTCATCTAACTCTCGGCAAGAAAAGCGAATAAGTATATTTCCCAACTTGTTAAACTATTTCTTTAAGAGCAAGCTTCAACTCCACTGCCCGGACGCACCAAAAGGCCCACCCTCCATGCAGAAACATAGAGGTAAGGGCTGTTCAGCTGCAGGAAAACCTCCACCCATGAACAGCAGCACCAAGTGATGCTGAATCCTTCCATTTTCACAGTTCAGGGTTATTATAAGAAATGTGTGTGTGGTTTGCAGAACAGGGCAGACACTGTACATTTGGAGACTAATTTCTTCTTTGCAGTGTTTAGCTGCTTCGTTTCCTCCTGCCTGTCAGAGACGTGCTCACTGAGCTGTGCTTTCATGCAACAGTCATTCTGAACTAGTTTCATGTCATGTGTGTATACCTATGGGAGTTTCACATTCACCCAGCCAGCCGCTTCATTACCCCTGCAGGCTTTTATAACAGCGTTAGCCCTCACTAGTTCCTGTTTATGTATTCCTCCCTAAAACAGCTTGCATCCCCGAGCAGACCACAAACCCCACAATTTCCTGCTGTCATAATACATAATGCATTATGCACATTCAGATAAAGAGCGTGAGAGATTGCAGACTGCAAACAGACTGATGAAAACAAAAATAAAGAGGAAAAAAAGAGAAAAATAATGCACTTTTTTTTATGGCAGGTGTAGGATACCACAAGCGTTAAAAACATTTTTCAATTCTCTTTCTGAAAGCGAGGCACGCCTAACACCTGTAGCACGGAGTGATGCCAGTCAACTGAAACATTGACTAATCACGGCCATGCAATCGCTATCGCAGCTAATTCACTGCCTGAAGTAATCACTACACTATGTTAGATACAGCAGCCAGTGAGTTTTCGATCTGTCCTCCCACAGGCTTCATCCACTACTGGGTTCCCCCCTGACTGATTTAATTCCAGCCACAGCTTGATTTATAGCTCTTCAGGTCCAACACTCTACATAACAGCTACCTTTCCCTCCTATGGCTCCCACTGTCCTCCTGCCGCCTCTCTCTCCGGCGTTCTAGCCATGCCTTTAAAGGTGAGGAGGAGCGCAGAGTGCATAATGACATGCTGAGATTTTACAGGGTCTGTGCCCTTTCATGGGAGCAGAAGAGGTGAAGGAGGAACAGAAAGAGATGACTATTTTTCTGGACTGAACCATTGAAGGAAGTTTCAAAGTGACCCTGTTTGCATCAAGCAGAGTCACATCCACCTACAATTAGATCGTTTATTGACATAATTTTAGTGCTCAGTGTTGTCCTGCCAAGTAAGTGTCTTTTGTGGTGTTTAAATCTGTGAAAAAAAAACAACACTTCCAACACCAGCTAAGAAGAAAACGTATAAATTCAGGTGACTAAGGTGCAGGTAACTGAGACCCATAATGGAAAGGAGTAAGCACTCCCCAGTTTTGCGTGCTCGCTGTGAATGTGGCCCAGCGGTAAAAGTGAGTAAAGTTGGCACAGGTAATCAGGAGTGTAGGGACTGTGGAGGAATAGATAGGGTTAGCTGATGGAAGTTGAGATAGAGAAGGCAGTGGACATTGGACCATTACACCCCAATGATGGCGAACATCCAGCACACATGTCTGGCTGAGCTGCTGCTCCTGTCTGCTCTCTGTAATTATCTTTTTTCTCCCTTGATTTGTTTCTCTTGTGTTGATTGAGTTTTGTTTCCCCTATTCCCCCCCGGTGTCCCCCAGCTCTGCCTTAGTTTGATGCCTTCCTCTCCTCCTCCTCCTCCTCCTCCCAGATGATATGTTGCTGTTGGTCCTTTGGCATAAAGCAGCAACCCTGCACAATGGGTCCAATTATGGCTGGCTTTCATGATAAGTGCAACACTGCTGCAGGTTGAGGTGGAGGAGGTGGCTGGAAGTGATGCTAAATATCAAGGGTGGCCGCTCCAGAGGCCTGAAGTAATTGCACTGCGGCAGTGGAGGAGAGAGAGGAGGAATAGAGATGCAGAGGCTTTAAAAAAAAAGAAATTCTTCTACTTGATTTTACCAGTGTGCTGAGGGCACTTTTAATCCTTGAAATCCTTTCTTTTTAAAGCTCTATATATCTTTCAAGTCAAGCACCACCTCACATACATACATCATATCACAGAGACCATGGGTTACTTTGATGCAACTGCTGATCAAATAAGCTACGGTCTGATAAAACGGACTTCGGACTAATGGTTTTATTGATCTGTGCTCTGCTGACAGATTTGGCCATCACATACATATGACGGCTGACATCGATGGCTGCCACATTTGCATTCTCTGAATCAGATGCTGATCTGGATGAACAACTGCACACAAAGCAAGTTTATCCAATATTCAAAATAGGAACTGTTAATCAGCAACATGCAGCTCCGGCCAAAATCAGCCACATCGAAAAAAACAAAACACCAAAGTGACTTCTCTGCCTCCCGCAAGGACGCGACGGGCTGCAAAAACTGCAGCTGTTAAGACTTCATAAAGTCCAGAGAGGCAGCCAGTTACAGCTTACAAGTAAAATCCCACTGCTCTGACACCAAAACATGCGTGGATAAAGCAGGGGTGAAGTATAAGCAAGCACGTCGCAGAGCAAGTAATCAGCAACCCCCTGGCACTCAAAAATGCCTCCTAATCCCTGCTGCTTCGAGGGCGGCGGGAGAAAATCACCTTGAATCACTGCAGTCAGACAGCTGCAGCCTGAACAGGTAATGAGGGGGCTGACTGGAGGAAGCGAGCAAGATAAGTCTGACCTTTCGCTTGTTTAATTCAGCAGCCCAATGCTGACTTTCAGTGAGCTGGGATGTGCCCTCCAGTTTCGAATCCTCATCAGCACACAGATGTTTATTGGTTATCTGCCGGGGGTCTTGAAGGTTACTGCCATTTGATGGACACCTCAGCAAGGTATATCTTCCCTCTCCACCCCTCCACTTCCCAGATAACTTTGCATGCCAACTGACTTTTGTTTACCATCATTCTCACCAGAGTCAAAGCAGGTTAGAGACCCTGCCGCTCCCTCAATCTAATTTTAGCAATAGGCGTTCCCCCATCCTCCTCTACTCTGCTCACTCAGTGATGCTGCTCTTCCTGAAAATAATTTGCAGTGACCCTAAATCCATTAGTTCAACTAGTAGGTGTAATTGGCAGCTTTAAGATGCAACTCATGTCTTCTACAAGTCCCAACAGCTGTTTGTTTTTAACACAAAGTACATAGCCCATCCATGACTCCCTAATGAGTCAACATGATATTGTAACATTGCTGTGGCTGATGGTGCAAGCAGACCAGTCCTTGCATGATCTTATCTATTTTGCAATCCAACACATTTAAACGCATGTATACCAGGTGATCAAGGAGGGAAACGGAACAGGCGCACACTAACATGTGGGTGAAGTGCGGACCAGACGAGAAAGAAAGACATCTGAAACCCGCCATGCGTAAAAATGGCTCGAGTGGCTTCACTTATCTAACATGCAAGTTCTGGCACATTTCTTACCTTCAGAGTTTGAAGAGTCCCATGCTCTGGGAGCTGAGGCGGCGGTGGTAACAGTTTGTGGAGTTGAGCAATGAGATGAGAACGTTACATCACCAGCAGCACCAAACTCAAAACGCCTGTTAGGCTATGGGAACACCACGGTCCTGCTGAGAGAGAGAGAGAGAGAGAGAGAGAGAGAGAGAGAGAGAGAGAGAGAGAGAGGCGCCTATGAAGCTCAAGAACTCATCGGAACAGACGCACTCGGTCGGATTCGGACTTGACGGCGACTCTCTGAAGAGGCTCTGCAGGTGTTTGCTCACGGCACATTAACCCTACAGTGCGCACAAGTCATCTCCCGGCGCACTCCGAAAACCAGTTATACGCATGTGATGTACCAAGAGGCTCCCAGGCATCAGGTCGCAGCTGGATGGCGCGCCAACCCTCTGCTCATGTTCCAGCTGTGCGGCTCACAACCACACAGCAGAAGAGCCACAGTCCCGCCTATTGGTAGCAGCACAGCAACACCACGGCCTGCACATGCTTGTTGCGTACGAGCCGCTACGCGTCATTACCATAACAAGCTGTGTTGGCTTCTCTGCGATATCCATTCGTCTTTTCAATCAAATGAATTTCTTTACAGACGTGTCCACACTTCCAAGACCGTGCTGGCTTCGCATACACCCCACACCTTTCCAAGATCTTGACATTTTATCGAGTGCTTCCGGCAAGATAACACTTGTTTTGTTTTTATTTCAGTAAACAAGAGGCAGACAGCTGCTGCAGTGGTAGATTGGGGAATTCGCGCATGTGTTAATTAATAAACAAATACATATTCATAACACTACATGACAAGTAGGCTGGACTAGAGGAAAGTTGCATTGGTGTTTGATTAGGTTAATCAATTTTATTACACATTGATTACATATTTGTTTTATATATTGTACATACAGCAGCGGCAGCCTATACCTGTTGCTACAGAGCAGAGTAGCTCCCTTCATAACGTCACATGTTGCGTCCAGGTCATGCGGGATTAAATAGGTGATAACCCTAAACAGCTAAAAGCATGGCCAAAATAATATAAAATATTTAAACACATTGCTGATATGTGGAAAATGCAGTCAGTTTGAGAACCACATAATCACACAACAGAGTGCAAGGACTCGCGGAACAAGCTCTTTCAAATTGGAGTTGTGATATGTCCGATGGCATGTAAAGGCAGCAGTGTGTAGTCCTGCCCGACCAGGAAGAAGAGGAGAATTTGAAGACACGGTAGGTGCTGTTATGAAAATAGTGTTTCATCAAGCAGACATAATAGTAAAAGAGAGAGTTTTGAAAAGTAAACTTTTTGATTGTCAGTGTTCAGTAGGGCAGGCTACACTCGCTGTGTGGTATTCGTACATCTGAAATGTCCTATTAAAACATCGTAGGTCGCGCAATCCATAATAGTGTGTGTTTTCTCCATGGTCACTTCAGTTCATACACCTAAAATAACTTTTACAAATGTTGTACATAACATCTTTATGATAAATATCAACATATTAACATTTCATTAACTGAGACTCTGGTTCACTGGTTGTTAAATGGACAGATTGAAACTCTGAAAGCACCATTAAAACAACAGAGATTGGTTTTCTTTTTGTCATATCTTTTTTATTATTTATTGAGATTTGTATTCATGTATTGATTTTTTTTTTATATTATTATACTATGGTTTGTTTTTTGCAACAAAAAAGACACAGAAATGACATACATGTTAACAACATGTGGAATACTGAAACAGATTAACTGTATATGCATGGATAACAAGATGTGTGGTGAATAACTGTTGTAGGGAAGCTGCTGTGTGGGGTCCATTTGGGCATAAAACTATTGAGGCATTAATGATATTTGTGGCAGCAGTAATAAAAAAAAGCAGAACAAATGAGTGAATTGATGAGTAAATGCATAAATAGGTGTGAATGAAGGGATGAATACATTTCAAGAATTCATGCAACAAGAATACTATTGAAATAATCTTCTGAGCAGTTTCAGTGTTCTGTGTTTATTTGTTGTGTGGTATTCATTATTACAAGCAGACCTGATGGTGCCATCCTTTCTCAACAGCAGCCTGGTCTTTCCGTGGGATTCCCCCTCTTTGAATCACTTTAATACAGGAATAGAGGTGAAGAGGCCAAGAAAGGGGGAAATCTGTTCATCCCAGTCTACAGCTACAGCATCTGTTTACCAGAATGGACAGCCAGGAGGTGGGGGATTTACTGCAGGAGTGCCTCGGAGCAGTGACAGCAGCTCAACAGTCGACCCAGCCCACTGTGGCAGAGAGGCTTCACTACTGTAGCTGCAGAGGTCAGACAGAAGATGGTGCCATTTGTTAAATCTTCATTTTGGGCATGGGAGGAAGTCTGATTGGGATTTGTGTAAAGAGAACATTTATGTTTTAAGACATGGTTTGTGTTGAGAGTGAGGGACAAAAGCACTCTTTACTCAATGGATCCAACATGGAGTTTGGGGTAAAATGTTTCTAGTGTAGCTTTAAGTGAAATTATTCTCTCCTGCAAAGTTTGCAAATGTTTATCAAGTATTGTCAGTTTTCTTAACACGTTTGGTTTCAAAGTTCTTAGGCCAGTTAATCTTTGCATTGCCACACACTTTAGTTGGATTTATATCTATTTATGACTATGACCTATTTCCTGTAGACTCGCTGTGTGCAGAGCTGGCCTCTCTCCTGCAGGAGGCAATGGATATGAAATGGCCTTTTGTGCCAGAGAAGTGGCAGTATAAGGAGTCAGTCAGTGCCGACGACAAGACCAACCTCAGTGACCTCATCAGCAAGCACCTATCTCAGCTCTTGGTAATAATGACACGGCTAAGTGATGGTTTCCTCATGTTGTTACTTAACGGAAATGACCTATGTTTATGTTTGCTGTGTTGCCAGGCCGTTCTAAAGGCTTCCATCGTGGCTCAGGAGGCACGCACGGCACTGGCGGCGGTCTTCTTAGTCGACCGCTTCCTCTACTGGACAGACGAGTCCAGCCGGCTGCTGAAGATCACCAAGCTGCTCCACAGACGCCACCCTGACACCCCTGTGGCCCCCCAGCTGGTTATACGGCAGGCCAGGGTCTACTTTAACTCTGGTGCAGTGTGGTGGAGGGGAGCGTACTTCAATAAGATTCTTAGTTTTATGGGGAGCCACTGGCTCTGAATAAATGTGAATGGATGAGTTCACACTTCATAAATCATCCTGATCCTTGTTTTGGGAAATAATATGCAAACTCATAAAATGAAATGTGAAAATCATCATTACACAATTGCCATTAAAGAGATGCAGAGCTGGATAAACATTACAATCATCTTCCCTACAGGCAAACTACAGAAGGCAGAATACATTCTGAGCAGTCTGATTAACAACAGCGGAGCCACCGGTGGGTGCTATGACATTCATATTGCCTTTTAACGATCTGTTATAATGTTTCTTTCAAGCTAAATAAAAAGCTAATCTTTGCTTTCTTATACAGGTTGTTGGGTGTACCACTCCGAAAGTGACAGGGCCCTTGTGCAGGCCGTTAGTGTTCAAGTACGTGGGATGATTTTGCAAAAGCTGGGTAAGTCTTTTTTTCCTGAATGAAAGAAGAGAGTTTACTCCGCTGATACACTGATACCGTGGCTGTTTTCTGCTCTGTGTCAGGCCTGTGGCTTGAGGCTGCAGAGCTAATCTGGGTCTCTCTGGTTGGCTACTACGCACTTCCTCAACCTGATAAAAAGGTAGCCCAGATGCAACCTCATTATTGCCATCACAGTTGCCATATTATGAGCTTGTAAACATGCACAACATCCCCACAAAAATCTTTGCTCTGCATGTCTGTACCTTTTATAGGGCATTGGAACCTCTCTTGGCATACTGGCCAACATATTGGTGTCTATGAATGATAGGGACTTCCACGCTTTTAGGACTAATCCAGATATTGATTTGGTAAGCTTATCTGACACATAATAATGGTTTTTTTATTCTTTTAAATATTGCAAGCTTTGTGTAATTTCTTGTCTATGTCTGTCTGATTGTTTGGAGCAGTCTTTACTTGGTGACAGGAGTCATCGTCTCCTCTCAGCGGCTCACGCAGCAAAGATGGCGGTGGTGTTCAGCCAGTACACTTCCCTCTATGTGTTGACCAATGTGGTAAGCCTTTCTAATGACGGGTCGTTGCCACGGCTCACTGTTGCCTGACATAAATCATAATAATAAAATGATGAAATCCTTTCCAAAAGTTTTCTAAAGTAGTGATGTCCTGATACTAGAAATTCAGTAGTCAAAAACAATACCAGTGAAATTCCATGAATCTCGATACCCAATTCGATTCCACGTTTTTTTTCTAATTCATTATTAATCACTGGTAATCCACCTCAAGATTCTCTCCAAAAACTAAATGTTACAAGATTACATTTGAACACATCACCATAATGTTATAATTTACCTTTGCCCAATACTCATTTTTACTGAATAGACTTAGAACGCATCGTTATTTCACTCGATGCAACCTCTGTTAATGTTGACTGTTAGCTCCGCTATTTAGCCAACCTGTCTTGCCGTGCTGCCTACTAACAGCTAACAGCTAACGTTACTAGCTCTCCTCCTGTCAATTTCAACACAGATTTGTCATTCACAATGTAGCTGATTAAGAATTTTGCCTTGGTAGACTTGGTACTAAAGTATCGCTTCTCATGACATCCCTATTCTGAGGTCTAAATCTTACTTATTGCTGCTTTAATTTAATTTAATTATTATTTTTATTAATTTTATTTTTCTCTTCAGGCAACTCAAGGGACCTGCTTGTTATCGTACAATTTCTCAGTGGAGTGCCCTGCCTCTCAACGGCAGTCTTTCCTCCTGCAGGCTAAAGAAGCATTTTCAATCGGCCTGCTCACCAAAGCGGAGGGCGAGCTGGTCACCAGCAAGCAGGAGCTTCACACCTTCCTGAAGGCTGCCTATTCCCTCACTGTCGCCCACAAATGGCTCGGCACTCCTCCGGAGGTTGTGGCACAGGCAACTCAAGCTTGCCAAAAAGCTTTAGCAAATTTCTATGATTACTGCAATGCAGATACTCAAGACAAAGACGGCCTCTGTGCTGAAATCATGCATCTGGTCACCCAAGTCAAGCTTCTGTTAGGAGTGGAGCCTTTCCTTAATTCAGACAAGGGATCTTTTATCCCTGACAGCTACAGAAACATCAAAGACACATTGGTGAGTTTCACTCTGAAAGGCTTCGCCAAGGTGATGCAGAGATTCCAAAAGTATCATGCATCACTGTGTGAGACAACCAACACAAACTGTAAGAGGACCCAGGACGTGATAGATGGGGCGAGGTTGTGTATAACTGCAATGGGGACAACCATTGGTACACTCAACACAGAATGTAGCACTGAGGCCTGCAAAGCGTCACCCAAAGGAGAGGAGCCACAACAGAAATACAGTTCAAAATCAACTGCTGTGCACCCACCTCAGAAGTCTGACCTGTGTACCACTCTAGGAAGCACAGATAACCTTGGTTCTTCATGGCAGAACTTCTCCCTGAGCAGTTCAGGGTCTCCTAGGCCCAGCAGCAGCAGCTTCACAGGAAGTAGGGCTGTTGAACGTGAAGCAAATGCACGTAATCAGAGCTGTCTGACCACTGACGTTGATGGTCGGTCAGACAGCATTCTTCATTTTGCTGATGAAAACAAGTCTGCAGTCAGTTCCCAAACTGTCCCGAGATATGTAATACCTGCCACTTCCTCTTCCAATGCTAGTGGTGATTCAGAGAAGGTTGAAGTGATACAAGCTGGAATAGAGACACTGGGCACTGAGGAGGGTTGGATGACTGACGGTGTGGCGCCAAGACCGCCAGCATCTGAGGGAGCAGCACAATCTTTATCCCAGCTAGTTCTCGGAACAACCTCCAGCTCACTCAATGACAGTTTTGGTTCCCAGTCGTCATGGGAGAAAATTACAACTGACCTGAACTCTCCCACAATCAGAAAACCTCAGCCAAGCAGCCTATCAAAAGCAGGAACCAGCCAAAGCAGCAAGTCACCAGAGTCTGATAGGAGCTTCTTCCTCTTGGAAACCCTTGATTCGGAAACCAATGATTCAGCTCATGATCCCACGCACAAAAAACAGACATCTGGAGGGGAATCCGGAGACTTGTTCAAGCCACGACCTCTAGAGAGCCTTAATGTTAACCCAAATATGCACACTGAAGTTGACTCAGTATCTGTAAAACCCACTACCAAGAACTCTTCAGCAACCACAGTTTCCCAGTTTGCACCAGAACAGTGTGCTTCCACTGAAACCTCCACAGGGAGTTCATTTGAGATGCTGGAGGAGCATCAAAGTGGAGACCAACACAGTGAAGTAACTTCATCAGAAAACATAATTGCCCCTCAAATGAAGAACCCCTTGTGCTACAGCTGCCTGAAGCACAGCACTGTAGCTGAAGTGGTCCCAGAGACTCCCTATTTGTTATCACAGCAGGATTACCAAGCCCTACTGGCTGGAGTTTGCCATGAATGTCTGCTGAAGAGACTTCATAGTGACGAAACACAATTCAAACTTAAGACACACAGAACTGCCCACAGTAAGTTTGAATTCCAAAAGTTGTTGAAATTTGTCTTTATCATCAGTACAAAGCGTGTTGGAGAACTGCAACATGGTGGAGAGACAGGCTTCCTACGTAGATATGAAGGGCTCATTCTAAGCTGACAAAAACACGATTCTTATTTTCACATTATACAGTAATGAAAACATAGTCATGAATATTATATTCCATGTCTGCTAATAGAGCCTCCTAAATCTTACACTCTGGACCTTGTGAATAAAACATTGACTGCAACTGTCTGCTAATCTCTGACTGGCATATCTATTAGGTGCTCTTCATTTAAAGTTCTCCAAAGCCACAGGACTGTGGACAGCCAGGGAGACCTGTGCTTACATCGGGAAGCCGATGGGGATGGAGGGAACGCAGAGAGCGGCAATATGGGTGCAGTTTTTACACCAGGAGGAAAGGTTAAGCAGGTATGCAGCTGCACATTCTAGGGACAACCTGAACCTGAACATAATGACTTTGAGTTTCACTTTGTCTGTGTATTTATGTCCATAGTTATGTGGGGAAAGACTACTTGAAGCCTAAGGAGATCCAGTTTCACCTGAAAGATGTGGAGAGACAGATGACAGCCCAGCACTATGTGACTGCGTTCAACAAGAGTCTGTACGACAAGGAAGTGATGGCTCAGATCTTCTTCATTCCCTCGGAAGCACTGTTGGTGAGGCCAAATCATAAAGAACACGGCAAACATAAAATATGTGTTAAGTTTCACTTCATTTGGGGAAAGTAGATGTATCAGATGTTGCATTAGTATTAAAATTACATCATTCATAATTGCCACTTTAATAGGACCCCGTACACAAATACATCATTTAGAGACAGCAGAGTGCAGAATAGCCTGCAGCAGCCTTGGATCTGTGAAATTCAACTCTAATCCCAGTACACCCTCCAGTTGTCAGTTTAAAGCCAGACATATATACTCTCTACTCACTGTAGTGAAACCAATACTTATTAGTTATTAGTCTATAATGTACTATGAGCTGTTAAAGGGGGGACATGGGAAATAATGATACAAATAATAGCTTAGTGGCAAGTATTGTCTCTGCACTCCCCTGAAAGAACTAGCCCAAAACAATTTAAAAATTAAATTTACAATTCTGACCTGGCCTGGCCTTTTGAAATTATACACAATGTTAAGACTACAACACTTTCCCTGGTGAGTACTTTGAGGAGTGGCAGAACACTGAACACCACATATAATGTCCATTTGGAGACATAGTTAAGCCATTGGATTACAGGAGAAGATTATATTATACAGCCATGTTAATAGGTTGCATACAAAGACGGGCTTTCAATGTTTCCCTCTTGTTTTCTGTAATTGTGAATAGATTCTGAATGGAAATCAGATTGCGGGCTGTGTAACAGTTGAGCCCTACATGCTTGGAGACTTTGTCAAACTGACCAACAACACAGGAAAGAAGGACAAGCGTTTCCAGGCTACAGAATATGGCCTCGCCTTCGGACACTTTACCTACCTGCTCTCTGACTACCAGGAAGTTGTTGTAGACCTGCAAGGTGTGTTTGTGTGTGTGTAGGTGTGCGTGTGTGTGTGTGTGTGTGTGTGTGTGTCTCTGAAATCACAGACTTCTGGTGTATTCTTAATATTGTCATTTAAAGGTATACATATATATATATTTGTTCTTAATTGTGAACGCATCATCAACGCATTTTTTTACAGGCTGGGTGACAGCCAATGGCAAAGGGCTGACTTACCTCACTGACCCCCAGATTCACTCCACCAAGACCCCCAAAGGCCCCTCCAACTTCGCTGCCAGAGGCCTCAGGTACTTCCTGGAAGAGCAACATGGACCAGAGTGCAATGGCATTTGCCAGCTGCTCCAACTACCTCCAGTGCTGCCTCAGAAACTTTGAGGAGTTGCCGATGTTAAGTGTTTTTATGGGAGTGTTTGTATTCAGAATTAAATGATCAATCAAGGTTCTGTATTTTTCTTATAGCAACAACATAGCAGTCCAGCACCATTGCGATAATGTAGTAGTGTAGGAAAGTAAAATCCAACAAAAGTATGAAAATAGTTTAAAGTTAAATTACATTCTATCTGAGGTGCTAAATGTATAAAAGTTATTGGTATGTTATTAAAAATGACATTTTATGATGTACAGCCACAGAATAGCAATTAGGCTAGTTTCCACTGCAATAAATAACATAAAATACCTACTTGTTTGTTTTGCTTTGGAGTGCAGGAACCACCTGTGACTGCACGAGACAAATATTGTTAAGTGTAAAGCTCGTGCTTTATGAAAAGTTTCCATCATCAGCACTGGGGATCAGATCTTGCATCGCCCCCATTCACACCCTGGCGTTATTACATTTTTGCTTTAATAACAGATGGAAAATGACCATGCAAACATTCCAACATGAGTAGTAACTTTCAAAATGTATGTAAAATGAAAGCAAGCTACAAATGAATGAGATGCAGCCATCTTTTTTTCATTGACATACAATGGTTCAAAGTTTCCGATTATGTAAGTATATTTTGAGATTCTGCTCTTTTCACCTTCAAACCTATCACACTGGTGCCTGAGAATAGGAACACAACCAGGTTCATGTAGCCAGTGTTGGTAATGTGTGATAAAATGTATTATGACCTTGTTATACATACAGCAAAACCGCATGACGACTGCAGATTGCCTTTACTGTATGACCTTAACTTTACTGTGGAACTCAAATGCATGTGTAAATATTGAATCAAATGAAAAATACAAAAATCTATAAAGTAATGCTTTTGTTAGATACAGTATGTACTAGACGGATTGTAGGACCAGCAGGTGCTCTAATTGCAACAGTCACACACCTCCACATCATATGACCGTGATGTCATTCTTGGAGCTGTTAGCACCCTTGAGCATCCCTCTCCAGTCAGCTGAAAGTCCAGTTCTGGGTTTACAAGCCTCCATCTGAACACGAACATGACCTCGCAGTCACATGATCTTCATGAAATAAAAATATTATATTGAGATGTTGTGTATTTTTGCTTGCTGTGCTCAGCTAAATGTACTGCACTATGCAGAATATAAAATAAAATATTTCCAGACATATGTCTCCACATGCACACAATCATTTGTAGGCCTACAATTGTCTCCTTTAAAAACATTAACCAGCCTATAGTTAACATAAAGTAGACAGCATTTACAGGGAGAGATTTATGGCCTTTTATTATTTCTATGAGCATGATGACATCAGCTTTTCACCCCTTGAGAGTTATAGGGTTAGAAATATACCCTGGAAGCAGGACTTCCTCCTAGAGCCTCTGGTCGTATTCATAAGGAAGTGACTTTCCCTTCAAGTACCAGAGTGTTTGTGGCTGTCTGGAGCGTGGAACCCTGAAGTATGATGCTCTTAGTAGTTTTAACATGTTTGCTGGCAGGCTGCCTGGCTCAGGACCCTCACCCATGCTGTAAGTACAATAACAGATTTCTCAGCTCTTATTTCTTAATTAAGACATGTTATGCTTTCTCAATACTCAATGTTATCCAATGCTGAATTAGACAGTGATCAGACTTGTAATGTTACTGTGTCAAATGTGTGCTTTTGTTCAATAATTGCACGCATCTTCTTCCATAACACAGCAAGTCCTCCTCTTCTGAGCGGAAGCCTCTCTGTGGTGAGTGTTCAATTGTTTCTGAGTTGTGTTATGTAAGCATACAAAATCAGTACCTGACCTGAGCATGACTAAGCACATTTACAGTATGTGAAAGAGGGAGATGTAAACTCACTCACTCACATGGTCTTTCTCCAGGCCACACAGAATGAAAAGCTGTGGACTTACGGCAGATACCTGTACGATGCACTGGGACAACGGGTCCGTATCATGGAGCTGGGCGCTTACGAGAATAAGTCATTCACCTATGACGCGCTTCTGCTGTACAGAGAGGTGACCAGAGCACTGACATGAGTGTCCTAAATATTTGTGTTGGAGTGAAGTCGCTCCTGATTAGAAGTGAAAAGTACAAGAAAAATCATTTTATTGAATTAAAAGCACCAAGATCTACAGCTAAGTGTACTCACAATCTAGACTCAATTTCTAAAATTTGAAGAAACTGAGGGGTATAAATCCAAATTCTGATTGAATATGTTATTGTTTTTAATTTCATTTCATTTGTTGCATGTTGTAAGCGCAGTAACTATATTTCTTTATCAATGGTCACACATTGTGAACCCAATTCCCCAAATACGCAGCTTGGTCAGTGCTTTAAGACTTCGAACTGTGACACACTACGCACCCTCTAGCGTCGGGCTAGGTTGTGTCAGGGACGGCGTGTCAATGTACACTCGTTACATGCATTGTGTCTTTTCAAAATTAACTTCCGTCTTCAAAGGACGTTTAGGTTTAGACAGCAAACACACTTAGTTAGGGTCAGGAAAAGAGCCTGGTTGGCGTAAACTTGACTAATTAACAACTCATGTGACTAGCAAGTGACAAACGAGTCACTTGACTAATGACTAATGTGATTTACGATTGACGGGTCAACGTTGTGCAAGAGACATGAACGACAGTCTACTGGGTCCTGTGTTTGTTTGACCCATCAACCATCTCTCCTACCGGCCCTGTGTGGACTATGGCAGACTTTACACTACATCAGCTGCTCTTAGCGTGCAATAAGGAGTGTGTTTATGTTGTAGTAAACTGCAAGTCCGGTACGTGCGTCACATACACACGCTTATGTGGACAACTATAATGCTATTGTGGGAAATTACATTTTCATTTTTTAAGTTTACATTATTATTTCAATAAAAGTCGCGATGGGCTTCCATACAATGGAGCAATGATAGGAGTTGCCGTTTGCCAAGTTGCTGTGCAGAAGTGCAGTGAGACTTTATTATGGGAGTACAAATTGTATGTGGACCTTGCAAATGATTTACATATGGAGTGGTCATTCGGTTATCCACACAACCATAATCTTAAATGTCAATATGTCAGAGTTCACAGTAACCATATTTTTCTGTCTGGGTCAAAATATGTAACGTGTGAATATACAGATTTAAGTGCTTAGTAATGTAACATGACAATAGCATAATTTAGAGAAATTATAATATTTAATATCAACTTGTAGTGTAAACAATAATGGTCCTGTGCTTCAAAATAGCATTAGAACTCCTCACTTTTTGTTGATAAATTCACATGCAGAATCATTAGTTAGCTGAGGCAGCACAACCAGACAAGAAGGTCTGTGAGCATAAAATGTGATTAGATCACAAGTCATGTGCTGCAGTTCACCACATGCTAGTCCCTCCCTCTCACTCATCATGGACTTAAATGGTATTCAATCTATATGCACAAGAAATAATTATGTTGTATATAAGTGTAAAAGAAGAAAAAACATGATATGAGTTCAAATAAGCAATTGTCACCCTAATCCCACAACTTTCATCCACCAGAAAACCATGTATGAGATTAACGAACATGACCGCACATGCAAGAAAAAGCCTCTGAAGGCAGACTTCCACCCTATGGCAATCCCAAAAGATGCGTCTCTGCTGGGCCAATATGTTCTGGGCAGCTCGTCTGGACCTGGAGAAGGACTCCTGGTCAACACTTGGACGGGAGATCTGCCCGACAAAACAGGTTAGAGAGCATGTAATGGTATGAAAATGCCTGAACTGTCTATCCATCCGTCCCAGTCTAATAATAGATTCGTTTTTTTATCTCCAACCTTACAGGAAAGTTCATGTCCACAGTCACTGAATTTGGTTGTGTTCCTATAAGCACTGTGTACCACACTAGCCAGTATGGATGGGTGGTGACAAGGTAAGTTAACATCAACACTGTAAAAATCACCCTAAAGGGCAGGAAGGACATTGTGACTTTTGAAAATCAGAACTGTTTGCATCGGGCCAAGTGGTCATTGTGTCTCCGTCTTTCTGTTTACTAGCTTCTTGAACAACGTCCTTGGGATATCAGACCCCGGTCAGCTCAACCCTCCAGACTTCTGCCTGGATGAAGAGATGAGGGCTGATGAAGAGCAGACAGACTTTCTCAGCTTGTTCCTTAATAACAAGCTCTGAGGGCCTCCTTAAACTAATGATTTGAAAAAAGAAAAAAAAAAGTGCAGCTACTGAATCATATCTTTGTTATGTGATATACATCACATTTACTCTGCAATAACGTGTAATTCCAAGCATCTGGAGCATCTCAGACATGACATCAATCACTTTTTTTTATATTTCTGTCTATTTTCATATTGACAATGTATTAAAAAGCTAACAAAAGATGCTGATGTGTGACCACATGTAATTTTTATTAATAAGCTTATAAAAATAAAAAATAAAATTCATATATGTCACCTTGTGTCTGTGTGTAATGCTAACATGCAATATACAGCATTGTAACAGTACGGCAAAAGTGAGGCATGACGACTAATTGCCAATTAATTAACATGACTATAACAATTGATAAATCAACATCCCCGCATTTTTAGGAAACACGTTGAAGTTGATTTGACATTTCCCTCGAAGTCAAAGGTCAAAGGTATACATATAACGTTTTCGGGGGTTTTTGCCTAAATTAGCAGGGACTGAGAGAGAGAGGAGATGACATAACATAAACTTCTCAGGCCAGATTCAAAGCTGAAACATCTGTTAAAAGCTGTGCTATCAGTCACAGGGACACTCCCATATTATTACCAATGGTGTCTGTTTATTCTGACAAAAGAAGTGTTAAAGCTACTGGACTCAAAAGAAAACCTGGCAGTGGAATCAGAGTGGGAGCCTCCCCAGGCTTCTTTATAAGGAAGCGAGCGCTCGCACGCAGCAGCATATTTGCATCTGTGCGCAGAGGAAAGGTGTATCTACCATCAGACAGCATGAGAGCCCTCGTCATGTTTGTGTGCCTGTCAATGGGCTGCCTAGCTCAGAGACCAAAGCCATGCAGTGAGTACATCAACAGATGCTGAGTTCATTTGTAAATCTTGTTTGTCCTCTGAAAGATGATGCTAAATACTGATCGGGCTGTTCTGTTTTTGCTTCCTTATTTATGAGGAAATATCATGACTACGTAGCGAGCTTTCCACAGCTGTGATGTGAATGTTTATAATAAAACACTGCATTCATTTTAACAGCATCCCCACCGCTGCTGACTGGAAGCCTCAGTGTGGTAAGTTTGCATCTCCTTACACAACTCAGATTGTATTCACCATGCTGGATTACTATTGAACAAAATAAGTCTAGTTGGAGTGAGGTGGTCATATCCAAAGCATTGCTCGCTGCAAAACTTTCAATTTAATTTTGTATGTGATTTTCCAAGGCCACCCAAAGTGAGAAGTTGATGGCTTATGCCAAGTACAGCTATGACGCACTGAGAAAGCGCATTCGCCTCAGAGAGTTTGGATCTTATAACAATAAGACCTTCCACTTTGATGTGCTTTTACTCTTCAGAGAGGTAATGACAACATGGCATTGATATCTACGCTAGGAGATGTCGTGTGTAACACGAACTGCTGTATAATGCCATTCTGTCCTGCAGCGTGTCATGTATAAGATCAACTACAAGAACCAAACATGTTGCAAGAAGCTACTGAATGCAGACTTCCACCCCATGGAGATCCCACGGAATGCGTCCCTACTGGGAGAGGTTGTTCTAGGCAGCTCCTCTGGTCCAGGACAGGGACTCCTAGTCAACACCTGGTGGGGAGAGCTGCAAATGAAGAAGGGACCAGGTACAAGAGGAAACTGAACTAGAGGAAATTAGACAGAAAAAAATCACAGCAGAGTCATGTGGTGTACTGTAGCACATGACTGTCTGCGAATCTTCTGTCTAATCACTGCCTTTGTATGTCACGCTAACAAACCTGCTTGTCTGGTTGCGCTGCCTCAGCTCACATGTGATCCACTTCTGTTTTTTCAGCAAAGTACATGAGCACTGTCACAGAGTTTGGATGCATCCCCGTCAGCACTCTGTATCATACCAGTGGAAGTGGATGGATGGTGACCAAGTTAGTGCATGCACACCACAACTCACAAATGTGAAGAATAAGAAATGAATATATTAAATGGAACAGAATAAGACTTTAAAAACCCTCTCAAACATATTTAGACTTGTATTTTAAGAGGGGTTAGCTAAGCTAAGCTAATCCTCTCCTGGTTCAAGGCTTTCACACTCTCCCCCCACAAACACCCTTCACATATCCCATGTATTTCTGGATCCTCTTACAGTACATTACAGTAGCATCCATTATTTTTGTCTGGATGATTTCATCACGCGTTCTTCCCATTTGTCACCTTCAGCTTCTTCAACAACGTCATCGGACTAGTGGACCCTCAACAGCTCATCCCTCCACGTTTCTGTGAGGGCGCTCAGCTGGAAGAAAGGCTTGATGAGGAGCCAGTGACCTTCTTCAATTTGTTTTAAAATATAATATTTTCAGAAATTGAGTGCACTGCAATGATCACTGTATATGACTCTTTACACTGTATTGTCTCTTTTTTATGGCAGTCATTGGTGTAATCAATTTGAATTTATACATTTGTTGCGGGTTTGAAACCCTTTTGGGAGTTGGCAGTCTGGACCTTGCTGCAAAATGCCTGATTTTGTTCACTGACATATAAGTAAGATAAGTGAGTCGAAGACTCAACCACAAATCAAAGTTTATAGACTTAACTTTAATTAAATCAATATGTTTTACAGTTTTGGGACTGTAATTTATGATTATTGTCATTGTTGATTAATCTGGGATTGACTTCAATTAATCGATTGAAGGTTTAGCTTTAAACTAGAAAATAGTGAAGAACCCTACGGATTGACCTGAGAAATATTAAAAACTGAAATAAACATATTTCAAACCCGATAGGGTTGACTTTCATATTTTCTGATCTAGAACATTACATGCTCTTGGAAGTATGTCAGCGTAAGGTAAAATAAATATTTCAATGAACGTTAATCCAACATTGTTTCATGGTAATAACAATTTCTGATGTTTTGGCAATTTGAATGAGACAATTATGAATTATTTTATTATATGCATTCATTTTTTTTATAACTGCACAATAGATTCTAAATCAATATTAAACACTTTAATCGTGCACATATGGGATTGAAACTATCAAATGAGCGAGATGTTGTGCCGGTGCTTTTGTCACTTAAAATACATTTAAAGAGAGAACTAATCCGTACTTTGTGTTACTCGTGTGACTCTCTTGTTTCCCACAATTCCTAGACGAGGTTTTTAAAAGCAATACACTCGTGCAAACACAAGAGGGACGTATTGACCTTAAATTCCCTAACAGGTACTTAATGAGTTTACTTGCAATTTAAAATAGTATATGTTCATACAGTTATTCATCATTCCAACGATACAATAACACAGTGATGACCGTGTACATGGTTATTTATTGTCCTGAAAAACCGACAAATTCCGACTGAAATTGATGAACGTTTCCTCAGCATCACTGCATTTTTATTCTTTTCCATGTAGACTTGCCAGTGAAATACTTTTTACAAGCTCCATTGTTAACTGGAGATAATTATGGATATTATGTCTGTTTTTGTCAACTTTCCCCATTAATATAGAAACTGGTCAGTGGTTAAAAATGTATTATATGTGTCATTCAGAAGAAAATGTAATTTTATTGAAATATTTCACACAGTATTAATGGCCATACGTCTTTTATGGCAGTTTACAGCAGGGGTTCTTAACCTTTTTGACCTCGGGGCCCAACTTTTCAAGTACAAAGTGTCCCGGGGCCCATTCAAATATTAACACTATTAGTTAAACTAATTGATCTCACTCTTGGTTTGATTTGTATTCAATAACTATATTGTTACCTGTTCAACTCCACCCCTATTTTGGAGCAAAACCGCCTAAAATGACATACCCAAATTAAAATGGCTGTAGCTTCTGAACCGCTGTGACTATATGCATCACAAGTGTCAGAAAACCTGTAGGTCATATAGAAACAGAGCAGTGGGTCTTTGGAGTCAGTAAAAATTGAAGATTTTTATCCGCATAAAATAAAAAAGTATCTTTCAGTATAAATAACTGCCTGTGGCTGTATCTGTACAGGTAAATGACAGTATATGGCTGTAACTACACTATCAGTGAACAACTGCCTCAAATTTGAAGAAGATTGGACAAAGTATGACGATTCTACAGTGTTTCTTCCATGAAGAGATCCAGGAGGAGCTCTAAAAGGATATTTGGAGACCCAAATGGACACACGGTAACCAAATGATATTCTGACACACTAAAGGTGTTTCTCCCTTTATATTTTGATATTATATTATTTTCATTTTATTTTTAGCCTTTGCAAATTGCAAAAACTAATTACATATGGTCGAAGACGTGGTATGTAAGTAGCAGACTTACAGTGCGTAATGGCTGCGACTGAGCGCACGGTCGAGTATGAGGGTAACTCAGTTAAGCAAGGCTATACGTTGGTTGACGGCTTATAGAAGATGGAGATAGGTTTGTACTTTAAGTACTAGCGTTTTCTGAAGCTACTAGCTCCATGGTAACATCCGCTAGCACATTGTTGGGTCTGTAATGTGTCTTTTTCCGTCGAAATGCTACAAGATCCGACTTGCAGCGGTTATGGCGACTTTGGACAGTGTGTGTTTGGGCTCCTTTTGTGAAAAATCCAAAAGAAATGAAAGAAATTCGATGATTTCTTTGCAAAGATGAGGGTTTTGGGTATGTAAACGTGCATACACAACAAGAAGCCCAACAGGCTTTCCCACGAGCGTTGGATGTTACTCATATATATATATATATATATATATATATATTACTCATTAAATGATGCAACACTGCTGCCCTCTAGTGGTTAAATCGTGTAATGTTTATGGCTCATTCAATGATTTAACACTGCTGCCCTCTAGTGGTTAAATCGTGTGTTTCTGACTCATTCAATGATTTAACACTGCTGCCCTCTAGTGGTTAAATCATATAATGTTCATGATTAATTAAATGATGTAACTGATGTAACACTGCTCCGTCTGTCTTTGTTCATCCTGCATCGCTCTGTTCTGTTTTTTAATGTAACGTTACTGGAGCTGTTAGCAGACAGCTGTACCCAGCATGCAGTTCGGCGGTGAAATTTTATAAATGTACAATTATTAGTGTTACAAATTGTTTATATGTCACAGACTGTTGTGTGCTGTTGTGTTTTTCTCTGTTAAAGAGCATTAGTTGTGGGTTGTTAATTGTTGTGTTATAAAGTTATGACCATGACTAGGTTTCCCTCTCAATACATATAAAACAACTAGCGCTAACCGCTGTGCATGAGCAGCAAAGAATACATTTAGCTGCCTGTTGAAAGCAGACAGCAGTTGTTTTAGCTATGCACCGGTATAATGGTGTGTGAAGAATTCATATCATACGGGAAATTAAAACCGGTATACTGCCCAGCTCTAGTCTTTATTATAGTTTAGACAATTTTGTACCAATATTTGACGGGCCGGATTAAAAAGCCCAACGGCCGTTGTTTGCCCATGCCTGGGCTAGCGGCGTCTTCTTCTGCTTATTGTAGCTTGTTAAACAACTGACTGACGCATTACCGCCACCAGGTGGTGGGAAGCTATATTATAACTGAGTGTTTCATGGAGAACAGTAATATCTCTGGTGTCTTCAATTGATAACCTATGCGGTCCCGCCCCACAGGTGCAAAACTGAAAGTTTTTTGCGGCCCCATGCGTCAATCACTGGTTTACAGGATGTGTTCACGGTTAACTTCAAGGTCTATTACGTGTAGCCTATTGTTAGATAGAGAATCACCATTCATCAGATGAACAGAAGTTAAGTTGAACTTCTATTTCAGAGCTCAGCTTTCTTCTTTTCCCCCTCCTTGTGGAAGACTTTCCCATCAGGCTGCTCTCTCCACTTCAGGGTGACTCCACTCACTCCTTTCTCCATCAGTCTGTCCTGGAGCTGGGAAACAGGAGCCATTTTGAAACATCAATTTACATTGTTTGTTGGAAGCTATAGCTTTCGTTAGGCCTGCTATCCACACAAGAAGAGAGAACACAGTCAAACACAAACAAATGGACCCAGAAATATATGTTTTTTAAATTAATGAAAGAGTTTCAGGGTGGATTTTGGAGACTTGCCTTTTTCAGGATGTCTGCTTTCACTGCAGGATCATTCAGGACCAAAGAGGGGTCCTCTGACTTAATTCTCAGTTTCACTACCTGCCTCATCACTGGTGCTTTGACATGGAGGAGAAAAAACATGCTTGGAATTACATTTGTGATACCAAACTCATAAATAAACCCTAAACTCATAGACATGTTGGAGTACAATCTAATCTAATGCAGCATTGCACAGTAAACCACTCATCAGGGGGGACGCTGTAGCAGACAAATGGTAATCTAGTTTCACAAGACCCCAGCCTCCATTTTCCTGATATCCTCAAAGCTGTATAACTACACATGCTGGTCATCGAGCCAATTGTGTTGGAACCTGCGGACAAGTAGCTGAATGAGTAGCCACTTCCATCGGACCAGTAAATGTGAGGATCTCTGAACAAACCAATCCATGCCCAGTCTCCACCCGGCACCAAGCTATAGATTTTCTGGTTCTCTGCATCGTTCCTCGCGGTGGCCAGGTCTATGAAGTTCTCCCTGCAGTACCTCTGAGCACTGAGCCAATTCATTCTTTGATTCACAACAACAAATTCAGGATCCAGCTGTTGTCCTGCAGTTTGAGGAGAAGTTATTGTGTTCACTTGCGGAATCTTTTACAAGATTAAAATGTGCCTTGCTACGTCCTTACCTTTGGAGCAGATAAATGGGTATTGCAGATTACACTTATCATCCCACCACCTTCCGTTGTCTCCAATGTTCACACAGAACTGATTATAACCGGCAAAGTCTGGCTCATTGTCAGCAAGGTTTTCCCATTTCCTATATTCAGATCCACTCCCGCTGCTGCCGTCTGACCACCTCCAGTCGATTACACTGAACAGGCCGATCCACACGTCAGATGTGTAGCCGAGAGATGAAACTGTGTTCACTTCTTCAGTGTTTTCAATGGTGGCCAGGTCCTTGTATGACTCTCTGCAGTGGAGCTGAGCTTCGGTCCAAGTATTTGGTTCAGCAACATAGTGGTACTGATGGAGAAGGCACATGGAGGTGTTCCAGCCTGTGAGGGGAACAAGTTCATTTTAAATCACAGTCTGTCTGTCAATATTTGTTTACCTGTAAGTGATTAAAACTATGTTTTGATTTGATGAATACTTCTGACATACAGCTGAGATATCCATCGTTCATTATCATTCATCCAAATGTGCTTTTTTGGATGGAAAATGTATTTAAATTATAATTGGTTGATGGGATGAGGCCCTTCACTTGTTGCAGCTGATTGATTGTGGGCAGGTTTTTGTGACTTAGACCAGGCAGACTGTACTGACTAAGCCTCATTTTAGCCCTGAATTGATCACCCTGACTAGAATCTGGATGAATTTCTGCAATCAGTTGTCTACTGGACTAAAAAGTCAAATGGGACTAGTACTCTCCTGGGTTGGGGTGTGGTGGTTTGAAGCCAAAGATGCTGATCAAAGAGAAACTTTACTTGAGTATTTCCATATTTTGATACTTCTACTTTACTTTGGTACAGAGGAAAATATTGCACTGTTTAATCCACGACATTCATCTGACAGTTGCTACTTTTCAGGGTGAGATTGTACACTTAGATATTGTGGGACGTGAAGTATTTTCTGCTGGTTTGATTTCGCTCATGATATCTTAGATATTTCTCCTCTGAACCTCTCACATGGTTCCATTTAGATAACTATTAGGAGACCAAAGAAATAGAATTATCCGTTATTTAACTTATCTCCTCCCATTAATCAT